GAAAAAAAAAAAAAAAATTTGTGTTTGTGGGGGGGGGGGACGTAAATAGGTGAAAATAAAGAAACTTACGGGTCCGGCATGGTCTCTACAATGAATATCCCACCATGATTTGCCTTGGCCGTCCAACAAGCCGCGCCCTACGATTGCAAGTCCATCCACTTGATCGAATATGAGCCATGGTATTACCCCGTTCTCACCATTTTCCCACTTCTTTGGATCACTCTGCGCTATCATCTCTCCATCGATCTTTATATACATCAACAAAATAACTTTATAATTGACTTGGAGGAGGCTCATATTCGAGTATTCATGTAACATCAATCAAGTAAAGTGGTGGAGGGATATACAATGAAAAGGAGAGGTTTGGGTATGCAAGGACCCGTGAAGTGAAGGGAGTTGAGGAGGAACACCTTCCCTGCTGGTACATTTACACTTCCCATTTTGGAGCTTCCCTTACATGCATCCTCCCACGCCTTTTGGAACGCCTTGTTTTTTGTCCACAAATGATCATGTCCAACAATGTTTACCAAAAGTTAAAATTTTATATGATGACTAAATAATTAAGCTGCTTGTAAATGATATATATACACACCAATAACTTACAGATGTATCATCGGCAATTCCATCCCCGACCGCTCCATATTTCATCACCGATTCACCATAGCTTAACCCGGGAAGTCCTAAAATTGCAACGAGTACGATAAAAACCCGATCCTACATACATATGTACAAAAAGAGGATTATTTTTTAAATCAGGTCTAATGTTAGTAAATATATATAGGCAAAGAGTCTTACCATTTTAACGAGAAATGGATCGATCTTTGCAGAGTTGAATAGTGGATTACTTTCATATTGTCTTAAGACATATATATAAGGGATTGATTCAAACCCCAAATTGACAGCATTGGATACAATTACAAATGCATGCACTCTGTTTGGTTTTCTTAAATTGCTTACGTATCTATTTATGGATACATATACACGAGCATCTAAGGATTCTCTGTATGTGTTTCATTTGTAGTCTTAAGTTTCCTCTAATATGGAGCGCTATCCTAGGATTCTTTGTACTGATATTGTTGAAAGTTCAATGAATTTTCTAGCAATAAAGGAAATAGGCATTTCTTTTTATTTAAAAAGTTAATATTTCAAATTAATAAAAAAGATTGATTAAGAATTATAATGGTATTAAGTTGCTCTGTTTTATGTCTTATCACAAAGACTAAGTTTCTTGTTTAGCATGAAGATCCATGATTCAAGAATCAGTACCAACATTTTACATTGCAAGACTCAATCCAAGAAACACAGCAAAAAGTAAATGACTTTCGGATTCACAGCCAGGCAGTCAATAGAACATTATCTTCTTCAGGAAACTGGAAACAAGTGGTTTCACAACTCGAGAGCCTAAAAAAGTATGATCAATAGAAGAATCTCTCTCGTCCAAGTAACCCAACCAGCCAAATTAGAACTCAGTAGGATCCTGTCTTTGTGAGTCGCTTGATCTTGTCTTTGTCTGTCGCTTGATCATGTCTTTGTCTCTTAGTTATTCACACACAGAGACCACAAGACAGGAGGAAAAACATAAAGTGTAGGAGGACAATTTTGGCACAATTCAAAATCTAACAGAAGACAAGACAATGTAGATGCATCCCAAACATGAGCTCCAACATGACTCAATTATGAAGACGTTTGTGAACATGTTTTCAGGGATTATGAGAACACATCAGAGCACAAACACTCGAGAAGAGGGATCTTTAATTTCGAGAATCTCGCTCTCAACGATAAGTGTTCGACATCCTAATAGTCAGAGAATCAAATCGAGTACAAAGCGTCGAGATCGGAGAACTGTTAAAGTTCTCATTTGTTTGAATCAACCAAAATGATCAAACAACTTGTTCGGAATCGGTGTTTCTTCTTTCGTTTCTGCTCTGGTCTTACGCTCGCCTTCTTTGCTGTTTTGTATTTGATTGTTTATTCTGTAGATTTTGTTTTTTCGGCTACTTGTATTTTTTGTAATTTCTTTTGAAAATTCGAAAATGGTTTAAAATCTTCACATTTTACCAAAAACAAAAAAAAAAAAATACTCGGATCAATGCAGAGCAAAAGGAGGGCATACCATTTCGATCATGAATCATTGCCTCCGGAATTTGGCCAAGAGAGAAAGGAGGGAGCAAGAATCATTGCTTTTGCCTTGTCTCTCCTTTTTTTTTCTTTTTTTCTTTTGGGAATTAAACTCTGACTCCATCCATAAGACAAAGCCCAATGCCACCTGGCGAATGCATCAACGCACCGATGCATGTCAATATCATATATCCTTTATTTATTTTTAATTTTTTTAACCCAAAAAATATACTAATAAAATTTGCTATATAATAATCCCATATTTTACAAATTGGGGAACCGATAAAATTTGAATACATGTATCATATCGATTTAAATGTTTATTTTTAGATGTTTCCTAATTAAATGGTAATTAAAATTTTAAAACACAAGGTTTGTGAGACAAAAATCTCATGAAATCATTTTGGAGTTTACAAAAGTTGAAATGAAATCCCATCTCTAAACCTTCAGATTCATTTACAATCCATAAATCATGGATCCTCATGCTAAAAAGGAAAACTGGTATTGTCGATCGGCAAAACTGGTGGTCACTTCTGTCATCACAAGATTCACAACCCACAGATTTGACCTCTGGTCTTTATATTACGAATTTAGAAAATAAATGAAACATTAGATAATATATAGAGGAAGAATTTATTGTTACTAATCTGTACGTGATAAAGAAAGAGATCACAAGTTTAGTTCATAGTAATGTCTTGGTGCCGTCAAAAAAAAGAAAGTAACTTCTTGGTCTTGACTTTTCCCCAAAGTCAACAGCAACGTTTCCCCAAAGTGAAAAGATTTGAATAAACGTAAAGAGACAACAATAAATTAATGTAAATGCTTTTGATTTTCTCCGACAAACTTTAGCTATCTTCTATTGGTCGTCAATTCTACCAATTGGCATCATTTGATATGTCTCTTGTCTCGTCAGTCCTCATCCGTCCCCAACTTCCATCGTGGTTCGAGATGACCGGATTATGATTTTGGTTTCAATAACAGAAGACAATGCCAATTTGGTGGGTTTGTTTTATGATATTTTTTGGTTCCAAACTAAGTGATTTTGTGAAGGTTAGACGGAAATCATAATGCAATTAATTAGTCTTTTATTTGTGTACGTATATCACCATGCGATACCTCATTTTCAGAATGATCACACTGAGCCAGGACAGCTTAGCCGGCCAAATGGAAATAAGGGGGCATGCTCTTTCCCCATGCAAATGTATCCTATTAATATTAGTGTATCTATACACATGCACCTATATACATGTATTTATGTACTAAAGCTTGTGTATGCTATATATATATATATACCAAAAGCATGTGTATGCATGCTATATAACTTTGGGTTTGGGTTTTGAGAAAATTGTCAAGATATGGATTCATCAAGAAATTATAAACGATGTAGTTTTGGAGCTGCACTGTTCGTTGTCAACATCTTCTTCTCTCTCATATCTCTACACTACAATATATCTGGTATACATACATATCCAAATCCCTGAAATTTTTTTTTTTTGAAAAAGTAAATCCCTGAAATTATTACCCCTTTGTTAATAACTTTCTGATTATATGTACATGTATGTAGGGGCACATGGTCATCAACAAAGAATGAAACAATCGGTTTTTGGTTCAGAGCCTCCCGTGTGTGCGACAAAGTGCCTGAACTGCAAGCCTTGCCTTCCTTATCTATTTGACATTCGTGGTGCTCATGATGATGATGATGATAGTGAACCATACTATCCGGTTAAGTGGATTTGTAGATGTAGAGACAGAGTATTTGAACCTTAAGAACAGTATATATACATTATTTATATAGTGTTTTGCTAATGATTCTCATGGACGTTCATGATGCCCATGAATGATGGTATCATGATGATGGTTCATTGAAAATTGTCGGGATTATACAATCTTTTGATATATAATCAGGTAAACATCTGTTTTCAAAAAAAAAAAAAAAATCAGTTAAACATCTACTCGTTGCTTCGCATGTGTTCATAATTGATAGTGATGGTGTATTGGTTTGTAATTGTATTAAGAAAAGAAAAAAAAAAAGTTGATGATGTGTTTGTCGGTATCTATATGTATCATCCATGTCGTATGACACACGGATCCACATGCGTACTAATTTTGGGCCTGAATTTTTATGGGCCTTTAAAGAGCAGCCGGAATAGAAAAAAGTAAGGATATGGGCCTACTTAGCATAAAGTTTCAAACTCCAATAACGAAGATTTTTTTTTGCAAGTCAAACAACACTCCCACACCGTACGTTTTGGTTTACCTGTCTGTCAGATAACGACCGTCTCATCTTCTTTTTGTAAGTTATTACAAATTTACAATGCTATTTTTTTTTTTTTTTTTTGACATCTTTGGATCTACAAAGCCCTATTCATAGTCAATTTCTATTATGTGGAGTAACGTGATTAAGTGAAGTCGAACTCCGGTAGGAAAGACGGAGTCAGATGGACTTAACCACTTGACTAAAGCTACATCCCCGTTATTACAATGCTATTAGGGATAAAAATTTAAAGAATAAATTAATTCAGCTAATTAAAAATAAACAAGTCAAATACTAATTTATACAATTTAATTAATTTAATTATTAAAAACGAAAATATATTATTAACTTAAAAAAAAAGAATGACTAATCAAAAATAACATATATGATTTGATATCTAACTTACCATATTAATTTGTTATTAATCATTATACTTCACCTCTCATCTTTATATGATTCTATTTTTATGAAACAAATAAATCATCATATCATCCATATAACAAAAAAAAATAATTTTTTTCTGCATATGCCAAGATTTGAATTTTTAAAAACGAATATAAATTGTTAAATCTATGAAGGGTCAAAAATTCACATTTGAATAATATGTTTCTTTTAACCAAAAATAAGTTCAACAAAAATTTCGACTAAGTAACGGGTCAGATTTTGAATATTTATATTCAATTTCATACATTTATTTTTTAAAATGTATTATTTTATATACTATAATAATATTTTTAAATATTTTATTTTGCAAAATATAAAATTAGTTTTACTTGATATTTTTCAAGAATATCATCAATATTTAAAGAATATCATCAATAAATACTCTAATTTGAGTTTTTTAAAACAAATATTTATAATAGGCAGTGGGTTGAACATAATATATTATATTAACAAATGAGTTATGATCCTTATAACTGTTTAAATATTTCTGTTTAATTTTACTTATTTTTTGAAATTCATTATTTTATATACTACAAGAAATATGTTTAAAGATTTTAATTTGGAACATTTAAAATAGTTTAATTTAATATTTTAATGAATATCATAAATATTTAATAGATTAAAAAGATAAAAAAAAATTATAAATACTTTAGTTTGATTTTCTAAAAAGATATATTTTAAAAAGTTATAGTAGGCGGAGGGTTACATGTAATATATTATATGATATAAAATTATGATCCTTATAATAGACGGCATGTTAAGATTATATGATCAGATTGATTAAATAAGGTTGACATCACAAAATATTTGAAAATTTGATTGTGCAAGCAATTTTGAAAATAACAAATAATAGATTGTGCACGCAATACTTTCATTAGGATTCTAAAATAAAAATATAGACTCCACGACGCACGGGTTGAATTTGGTATATTATATACTAAATATATGTTCATAACATATTCGATTACGCGAATGATTGGTAAATTCCGTAGTTACCTCAAACAAATCTCTATTTCAACAACCAAAGAATTAGAAATTGAAAAAATAATTTTCCAAATTAATTCAAAATAATAGCTAACTTTCTTAATTAATTAAAATAATCTACGTTTTAGAAGCGATTCATTTATATTTTGATTTTTGATCTAACTGAATTATATGCAATCTTATTTTGTGGTTGTTAATATAAATTAACTCATTGTTGAGACCATATTAATTTCTTAAAATAATTTTATTTTCTGTTATTATATCGTAAAAAAATATATCCATAATTGAGTATAATTAAAAAAGAAAATAGATTCATTCTAATATTATATATATGGAGTATGGACTGACAAAAATCTAATTATATTTTTTCAATTACTATTAAAATATATTACAACTTTATTCTAAAATATAATAGGGGCTTTTGCAAAAATACCACTTTTTCAATGCCACTTTTCAAAAATACCCCCTTTTTAATACCTTATAAAAAATGCTCTTAAAAATATAAGATTTACCCAAATATGTATGTAATATTATTAAAACATACAAAAACTACATTTCTATGTATCTAAAATCTTATAAATACTTTATAAATACCTTATAAATACTTTATAAATACCTTATAAATGCATTTTAAATACCTTTAAAAACCTTTAAAATATCTTGTAAAACCTTTGAAAAACCTTAAAAATCCTTTAAAATAACTTGTAAAACCTTTAAAAACACCTTATAAAACCTTATAAATACTTGGATCGAGTCTTCAAATAGTAGTTACAATCCATAAGTACCTTATAAACCTAATAAAACTTTATAAAAATTTCAAATTTAAAAAGAGACATTTTTTAAAATGGACATTTAAAAGGAGCATTTTTTGAAAAATGGCACACCAAAGGGGGTATTTTTAACAATTTCCCAATATATAATATATAAATTTTGTAATAAATAAAATTCAACTCGTACTACAGTACGGGTGATGATCTAGTTTGTGAATAAATGCGCCTCCGTAAGGAAGGAGAAATTGAATATCGAACATTTGAACCTCAGGGTCAGGCATCACATCCTAGTATGATTCCTTATGTTGATGTAAAAATGGTGGTATATCGGACCAATCAAATTCATATATTAATATTTGTAATAATTGATAAATCAGAATCGTAATGAATTATTTTTCAGCTCCTCAAAATGATCTTAGAGAATCTTATGTAAAGTGGATCATGCACGTATCTTTATCTTCGCAAAGCTTCGAAAGAAACCTTCAAAAACGTTATTATCTACCGAATACATTTAATCGATAGCGTGACAAAAGAACAGAGCCCGTAGTTGATAAAAGCATGATGAATGTGAAGCACTGAGAGAGATCTCACCGCGCGCTTGCCGTATAACGTCTCCGTCTTTGTAGGGATTCGTCAGCTGAAGTCTTAAAAGTGTCGACTAGTGTCTCGATCCAAGATAACACTGTAGCTGACAGTTACGTTTATAGTTTGTCTACATCTCATACGCAACGCAGCACCGTTAATTTTCTGTGTGGAAACGAAACTACTATATAATGATGTCGACAAAAGGGTGAAGGGTGGGTCCCGCATTTACCCATGTGGTTGTGGTCAACGTGTCCAAGTACTAGAGGCTGTGTTTTATTCCGATCTTTTTCTATCAAACCATGGTCCCGTTCCCGTATAATTATTTCACTTGGCTGGTGTCAACTTAGAGACCAATAATATATATACACTTATCTTTTACAGTCTAAATTAATTAGGCGGCTTACCATTATATAAAGACTCTAGTAGGCTACTCTCATTATACATTATCTAGTACTCATAAGTGGTTCTTGTTTAATGGAGTTTTTAATTTAAAACATTTGGTTACCGAGTGGATCACCATGTTATTGAGAAGCACATCTGCTCCGATACTGAACTCGTGGCTTCCACAACACTGCTCCAGAGAATCGTCTCCGGAGCCGGAGTCACAGCTCCAGCGCAGGTCAAGATCGTTGTCTCTTTTCTCATCAAAGTCAATAGATGGACACACTGGGGAGGTGTTGCATCAAGCTCTCTCCGACCACAAGGAGAGTGTTCTTAAATCAAACAGCAGCGAGCACAGCTATAAAACTCCAACATCAAACAGGCAACGCAGGTCATCTTTAGATGAAACACGCTATACAAAAAAAAATTTGGATCGGTCGTCACCTTTCTTGGTGGAGAGGCTCTTCTCGAGCTCTGGACTGGGAGACAAGGCCAGTAGTGATGATCGTCTGGAGACTCTTGTTAGTGGTGGTGGTGGCGGGATGGGAAGCAGCGGCGGCAAGATTTGTACTGGCGGTGGTGTGGGTGGAAGTGGTATTGACGGCGGTGGGAGTGAGGACGCTACCGACACGTATTACAAGGAGATGATCGACTCGAGTCCAGGAAACTCGCTTTTGACCGGAAACTACGCCAAGTTCTTGAAAGAGGTAATAAGTTCAGTACGATTTTGTCAAGGAAAATATCTTTATTGGCCGTCCGTTTATTATAGTTTTTTTTTTATAGGATATTTATACAAGATATTTAATTAGTAGAAGATCCATCCACGTGTAAAGATTGTATTGCGTCCCAAGATAAAAACTAAAAAATATCATAGTTTTCTTCATGTTTAGTTTGAGGGGATGGATATCCTAGAGGAGAGGAAATAAACGTTCTCATCGAAAAAAAAAAAATCTATATTGTATATATGAACAGGTGAAAGGAGACATGAAGAAAGCAGAAGAGTATTGTGAAAGAGCAATTTTGGGGAACACCAACGATGGAAACGTTCTATCTCTCTATGCTGATCTCATTTTGCACAACCACCGAGATCGTCAAAGAGCCCACTCTTACTATCAGCAAGCCGTCAAAATGTCCCCGGAAGATTGGTAATTTTGCAAAGTACCTTTCTATAATTAAACCATTTTTGCAAATTGAGGAAAAAGACTTCATGATGATAACAATATTGTAATAATGGTGCAGCTATGTGCAAGCTTCATACGCAAGGTTTCTGTGGGATGTGGAAGAGGACGAAGATGAAGGAGAAGAAGAAGAGCAAAGGAGTGATGAAACTGGCCATGTGCCTCCAACTACCATCTTCCGTGATTTTCCCCAACACACTTCTATTACCGCATCATCCTAAGACACATATATGTACACCTTCGCGAGTGTTCGCATTTAAATAAATAACATATATAGAAGCATGTTTAATACACATATTTAAATGCAATGTGCGTGTATAATATATGTTAAGAATCTTTGTATAAGTTCTGTAGTCTTTACTCGTTATAATATGGATATGTACTGCTATTTGCAGTATATATGTGTTCTTTTTGTATTGTAAATGAAACTTACCCTGTTCCTATCGAGATAGACAAAATATTAGGCAGATGTTTGCTGAAAGTATGATGGAATTGATGATACAGATCGATTTAATTGACACTTGACATCATCAGCCAATTTTAGCCAATCGACAGATACTTTGGAATTAAAAACCAAAATATCTTGTTCGTACTTGGGCCTAGACGTCTGATTTCTCGTTAGTAAGGAAGGGAATAAGAAACATCCACATGATAGTGGGCTAATGGGCCATAATTAAAATTCAATGTGACCATTCCACGAAACGAGAAAATGATTATAGAACGGAGGTGTGGACGACTTAAATGCGAGGAGATTTTTGGGTCATATATCTTACTCTCTCTTTTTTTCTCTCTGTGACACAAATTTTCTATGCTATCACTATCTCCCATAGATTTGGAGTATTTTAGTTGAACCGTCCTATAAAGGCTATGTCTACGGAGAGAGAAAAATAAATGGAACACTTAAAGGGTTTGGTCGCTTTGATATTTAAATTTGCACCTCGTTCAAGCTGTAAAACTTGCAACTTTTTGCCTAACTCACCAACAAAAGCAAAATGAATTAGACACAAAAGTAATGTTATCTACAACTAACTCTTTTCGTAAACCCTTTTTTTTCTTCAAATCAAACAGCTGTAACTGAGTAGTAATTCAAACCAGATTACAACAGCATGGGAGCGACGAGAAATAACGTGTGCAAATCGTTTCCTTTGAAGCCGACAGAAACTCACAATAATAATTATTTGCCACTCGGTTTTGCGTCCCACCAAAAAAGAAGAAAACAAAAACAAGAAAGGAGAAAAATCAAATCAGAGATCTTCTGCGGAAGGGTGCACCTGTTCCTCACCAACCTCAAGGAGATCGTCGCCGTAGATTTGATCAAGCACAAGAACCAATCCCATGGCAAAGGCTCCATCAAAACCGGGCTTCACGTTCAACGAGAAAACGTCTTTTCCAAGCATCACGTTCGTTGACGCATCCATTTTGCGCCTTATCTCCGCCACCTTCAGCCTCGTCTCCGCCTCCACCACCGTGCAGCTCCTTGCCCCGAAACTACCTTCTATCAGGTACTCGCTGCACTGGTAGTCCCCGTACACCTCCACCGTCACACTGTTCCTCCCGATTATCGACGATCTCCTGACACCGAATATCGGTTTCTGGCCGTCCGATCTCTCCCCGAGATACCCCTCCCATCTCCGTCGCAAACTCGGCCTCTGTTTCACCAATTGGAATTTTTTTTTTTTAAAAGGAGTAAGTTTAACTCTCAGTTATCCAAATCTATTAAAAAAAAAATCCAATTCCAAGAAAAACCCCTTTCAAATATTAAAAAAAGAAATCTATTTGGTTTCATACACAAACGAATGAAGAGAATGAAATAAAGAAAGGAGAGGCACCTTTCGTCGGAGGGTGAGGAGACAACGGCCGTGAGCGTCCATGAGGACAACCTCGTCGGTGTCGCGGGTGTTGGGACCACCGTAAGAGTCCACCCGAAAGACCAAACTTCCCTTGCAGTCGTAAACCGTGAAACCATCGCCGGCGAAAAACAGAGAAGTTTTCCGAACAGTTAGGCTCCTTTCTTCTTCGTGTATAAATTCATCGTCCACAAGCAAACCCCCCTTCATGATCGAATGATGCTTTAGTTAAGCTTGAGTATACTTATTGGAGATTTGAAAGGAAAGTGAAGGTTTGGGAAAAGGAAGACAATGAGTCCAATATTTATAAGACGACGACGAGCTCATATTCCCACCCCACATTTTTTTTCCGGTTTAAGCTAATGCTAACTGGACACGTGGCGCTGACTCGTCTCCTCAATTTTTTTTCAAAAAGTTTTCAAGTACATACATGCGCTTCACTAGGCCTGGGCAAAAAAACCGCTAACCAAATAACCGACCGAACCGAACCGAAAAAAACCGGTGATTCTTAGCAAAAAATCTTAGATTAAAATACTTAAAAATAAAACAAAACTCTGTAAATTGCTAAGAAGTGCTAAGAACCGATAACCAAACGGTTAACCGAAATATCTAAAAACCTATAAGATACCCAAAAATAATATCCAAAACTATAATTATAAACTCAAAATATTAATTATTTTTAGAATCAAAATAATCAAATACTTTAAATAATCAAAATATTCAAATATTGTTTGTTATATTTGTCAAAGTTAAATACTCTTTTACAAAATTGAATCAAATTTTAATATTTTTTTCTAATACTTTCTTTTTTTGTATTTTTTTTGTGGTTAATTTTGGTTAGTTTCGGTTAGTTACGGTAAATTTTGGTTAGTTTCGGTTAGTTACGGTAAATTTTGGTTAATTTGGGTAAAAACCCGAACCAAACCGAACGTGATAAAAGTTTGGTTAGTTACGGTTATCTATTTAAATATCCAAACCGAACCGAACCGAAAGGTAACCGAACCGAACCGAATCGAAATTTTTAAAATATCCGAATGGTTATTATATTACCATATCCAAACTAACCGAAACCGAACGTAACCGAACCGAAACCGAATGGTTAACCGAATGCCCAGGCCTACGCTTCACTTCACCGTTAATTTTTTTTTTACGTCACGTTAACATTAGAGCATCTCCAATGGTGTATCTTAGGTGATTCTTAGCAAAAAATCTTAGATTAAAATACTTAAAAATAAAACAAAACTCTGTAAATTGCTAAGAAGTGCTAAGAATTATATCTAAGCTAAGATTTTTTTGGTGTGTTAAGAAGTGATGACGTGTCGAGTGGTGGTTTGTCTGAGAAATGAACAAAAGGAAAAAAAACAAAATCCCGTGTTTTTGTTTCTTCTCTCCGTCGACTCTCTCTCTATGTCTCTCTATTCTTCGACTCCTCCGACAGCGAAATCTCTTCGACGCGTTTGATCCGCCTCAGATCTCTCGCTCTTTCGTCTTCTTCTTCTTTCCGATTTGCACATCGTCCTCTGTCATCGATTTCACCGATAAAGTTACCGAATTTTCGTGCTTTCTCTGGTACCGCAATGACAGATACTAAAGATGCTGGTAAGGATGCTGTTCAGAGACGTCTCATGTTTGAAGACGAGTAAGTCTTTTCTTTGATTTCTTATTCTCTCTACTTTGATTTCAATTTTTGGGTGTTGCCAAAATTTTACATTTTTCTTTTAAGTCGTATTCACGAACCTGGTTTGTCTTCATCGTTGGGTCACTGGGAAAATGGAAAGAAAATTGACTAAGTTAGGTAACTGGATTTGGAGTTTTTTCGATTAACAATGATTTAGGAACTTGGGTCTGTTGATTTGTCGACTTTGATGTAATAAAAAATGAGTTTTGGATTTAGTACTTGTTAGGGCCATCTTTTTTGGTATCTTCTGTGAAAGGTGTCATTGTTTTTAGGAGGAACATAGTCATGTTTAGCTATGTTCACAGGTTTTTGGCCAACAATAGATTCTTCGGATATATATTTTTGTATATCTCCTTTTAGACAATTTTCTGATCATAATGATTGATTTTTTTGCTATGATGGAAGTGTTTCCTCTAAGATTTTTAGGTTTCTTGATGCATAGTACAAGAATCTATACGATCTCTCCACCTTAATTTAGTGATTTGATTCTTCGTTTTCAATCTTGCTTGCAGATGCATTCTTGTTTATCGTTCTCCTATGACTGAAGTCATTGAACTTAGTTACAGTTGGGGGGATCAAGAATTGACATAGCGTGGGTGATTTGATTTAATGTTGATCTAGCTAGCACCTTTGAGTGTCCATGAAATGTCTTAGGTCTCTCCGTGAATGTGAACATACTAAAATGATAGGAGGGCTGTTTAATCTCTGTCTATTCCCTTGTTCAAGATACTGATACCTTTTCAAATTTGCAGGTCATCTGATGGTTGTTCTCCTCTGTTTCTCTCTGTGACATCTTCCCCTCTGTTTCAATGATGATACTAGCAATTCTTTAAATTCTCCTTTGTAATGTGTTTTACTCATTGTTACTTGTATTGTAAGACAATGTTTTACAACACTTTGAATTTTTTTTTTCTTAAGAACCCCTTGATTCTTAACCATTGGAGTAGTAATTTGTTAAGATCTTCTCTAACTTTTCTTAACTCCAAAACAGTGAAATTTTAATTTAAAATAAGGCTAAGATTCAAGGTTAAGAACCAATTGGTTCTTAACCATTGGAGATGCTCTTAGATCATTATGTTCGATACAATTAAAGAGTTTAACAAACGTAGGGGATGATGAATTCGTGTTTTAATTTTTCTTCTTCTTTTTTTAATTGGCTTATACGTATAACCTATTTCAAGTTCTGTTTGACTTATTGGGTGAAGTGAGTTTTTGGTTCATTACTCTAATCAGTATATATAGAGTACGTAGCCCCTAGCAAAATTATAGCGTGTTAAATGATACACATATGACATATCTTATCAAATTAGGTAATAATTTCTCAATCACTTCCAGCCTACTATGCGTTGTGTTATTACCGTAAATGTGTTACCGTTCAGATTCAAACTAGCATGATGACAAACCAAATAAATAATTTCCAACATTAGTTGGTTTTTTCGTTTTGCTATTAATTACTTAAGTATTACATATTCGTGTATACTTTTGAAGATTCTTGTTCTTGTTTGACGGTCTTAGGCAACATTATAACCTTACACCACTTATTTCTTTCCGATCACTGTTTCTCCTTCACTCCTTTTTCCGATTCTAATTAACAAATATTCCACATATTATATAGAACGATTATACAACCAGTACAGATCAAAAGGATACTTTTCTTTCTATCTTTAGTATTTATTTAAATAAAGCATCTAACAGTGTGGGCATCAAAAGTTCATATTATTGATTCCCCTATATGATTAGTTAACTATAAAGTCTATAACTAATCTAAATCTCATTTTTATAACGTGTAACATTAGGGTAACTAAGTACTAGTGGATTTGAAAATAATGGAGTCACTGGATTGCATCTCAACTTTTATAAATTAAAACTTACAGCTTTACAAAATCTTATCATATTTTAAAACAAAAGAAAAGGAAAAATCTTCTCATATCTCGTCGTTGATATTCTTATACTCTTTAGTATTTTGTTTCTATATTAAAATATGAACCTTCCATGTACCATCAAGGTCCATGACCAGCTAGCTTAGTCAATAGTATAATACCAACCTTCTTTTATAAATTGGTCCTGAAACGGAAACGAAATAAAACTGTGGAAAATGTGTGTTATCCCGGAGTGTATGAATAAGGGACATAAAAATAATACACATATTATTTCAAATAGACCCATCAAGTGGCCTGTATGGAAATAAAGATTCTCACTCCATAATTGAAGATAACATAATCAATTAATCATAACGTTCTCATCAAATATTACAGAAATAGCATAGTATTTTCTTCTTTGTTTGTATGATAACAGTGTAGTGAAAATTTTAAGCACTATATATATATATATATATATATATTACTTTTATATAATTGAAGTCCAATTTTTTATTGATCTCTTTTAATATGGTTAAGTTATTTATGTCTTGACCATTGCGAAATTCATTTAACAGATGTAGTAAGTTCCATAAAATAATTTTAGTTTTGGTTTGGATTAGTTTATTTTGAGAAAGTAGTAATGATCAGAAGGGGATATTTTGCTGAAATATCTAATTAGGTCAAAAGTACACCTAGTAATGATCAGAAGGGGATATTTTGCTGAAATATCTAATTAGGTCAAAAGTACACCTGAATTCGGATTCTAGATTGTTTCAATAAATATCTAATTTTAGCTAATTCTGGAATTATAAGTCCAAGTCGATCTGACCCGATTGGGTAAAGAAATAAGGAAAACGGGTAGAAAACGTAATGAAAACGTTGGTAAAGTCGGTCTCTAACCTCCAGCACTATGACAATGATCATATCTAACGCATGTGCTCTCAATTTTCTCAAATTAGATCCGTGCCAATATCATTTTGTTTTTTCTTCTTCAAATAACAAAGCATATTAACATGTATCATGAATTTTTTTTGTTTAAGCGTAAGTATAACAACGATATTAACACAAACTACGGTCTTATTTGTTTTGTAGACGTTGGAAAGAACAACCCAAAACCTGTCATCATAGACTTAACAATGATTAATTTAATTTCCCTCTAAAATTAGCGTGTGTTTCTCTTTCAATCAGAATTAATTGTGTCTAAATTGTTGAAAACCAAGACAAAAATCCAAACATATATTAATTGTCATAAACGCAAGCTCATATAAAAACATTAAAAAAAAAAAAAAAAACTTTATGTTTCTGCATCAATATAGAAAAGGAGAAGAAGAAGAAGAAGAAGGCAGAGAAAGATAACAACACAAGATTAAGAATCAAGAGAACACTGGAAACTGCAAAGGTATTAGGATACAATCAGGGCTTCGGCCTAATCTCGATGCCATAAAGAATAAGGCCTTTCTTCTCAAAAGGCCTCTTTGTCTCCTTGAGGCTCATCTCTATTTCACCCATATCTCCTCTCCTTTTAAAGAATTGCCCCAATTCCACCTCGTACCAACCGTCTCTTCTCAGCTCAGCGGACTGAGCTTCATCACCGCTTGGATCTTGCATGAGACTAATCATGGAAGGCTGAACATCATCAGTGCTGTCGGTGTCAGCCAAGAAGACAAGAGAGGCCTCTACAGGCTGGCGAAAACCGTATGGACTGGGGTTCCATTTGAAGACGAGGTAAGCGGCGTAGAGGGTGTCATCAGAGAGAAGGGTAATGTTGATCTTGCCAGTGATCTCAAGCCACCAGACCATGATGAGCTCAGCCACTTCTCCGAACCTGTTTGGTTGTGTACACAAAAACCATTTAATATCTGACAGCAGGGTGTGGAATAACGCAATGGAGAAGAGGAATTAGCTAGTCTAGTTTGTAAGACAAAAAAGAAAGAAAGAGACCTGGTGTTAGGAAGAGAGATCCAGTGCCAGTATCTTGGATCATGTCCCCAAACAATACTCAAGGCCCTCGCAGCCATCATGTAGCACTTGTTGCCACTCTTTCTCTCCAGCGAAAAGCTCTGTTTGATTACACAATTCAGTACTCAAGACTATATATCACAGCCAAAAAACAAAGATAAGACATCCCAATTATCTTGAAGACATTTATTAAAGCCCAAAAGTAGATTGATTCCACATGTACTTAGGATGATGAACATCAATTTTGGTCCTTGACCCACACAACGTTGACAACAATTCTAGACTTAAAAGAGTATCAAATCAGTTCCAGATGATCGGGTAAAAAGTACCAAATCAGTGTCGTTGAGAAGAAGAGGGTTATCGACGAGGGAGAAGAAGAGCTGCTTCCTGGTGGGGAGACCAGCAGGTGCCGCAAAGCCGGCGGGGAAATCAGTCGTCGGTAAGAAATGGTTCCAGACATCGTCGGAGTCGGCGGCGGATCTGAAGATCCTGGAGACCGCCGATGATCGGCAAACGTCGAGAGGCGTAGTCAAGGAAAGGATTATGGCGACGCAGTCTTCTGGGAGATTATTCATTGCGTGCTCCGATTGTTGTTCGATTTGAGCAAAGCATCATCGCTCACATTTATTTAATGAGACTTTTATAACCAGAGACAACCAGAGACGTGGAAGTCGTGTATTAGTCTATTTTTTAATCAAACGTTATGTGCAAGGAGGATGAAGCACACCTGTCCATTCCTTACTCGGTTTTTCAGATTTGCTTCCATGAGAGACATCTACACTAAGCAAACCACCTGTCTGTCACACTTTTTCTTCCAACTACTAATTTTGTTTTTTTTTTTTTTTTTTTTTTTAACGACTACTTTCATTGATTAATCAAATAGAGTGATCCTCATGGAGGATGTTTACAACCCAAGGAGGAACAAAGAAAAAAGATTCAAAACATAGATATCCTTGGAAGTGTTCTTTTGCAAGACGGTCTGCCGCTTTATTATTATGTCTACTTGTCCACTTGAATTCTGCAGTTGGAAGTTTGTTCTTCCAGAAATTGGCTTCACGTATCCAATTGTGCACGTTGAAATTAAGAGTTTCACCATTGACAAGCTTTGTGACTGAATTGTTATCTCCTTCGAAAATAATATTTGTAAAACCTTTAACCCAGGCTTGCTGCATTGCCATGATCAAGGCTTGTATTTCTGCTTCCAAGACCGAAGAGCACCTCTCTCCTATACTATGACCTGCATATAAAAAGAAACCATCGGAGTCTCGGAAAATCCAAGCTGCTTGTGAGGGTTGCCCATTCTGAAAAAATTTGCAGTCGTAGTTGCATTTGACGTATCCTTCTTTTGGTTTCGTCCAAGCTGAAGTTGTTGATCTGAATCGACATGAATTTGAAGTCGTGACACTTGTTTCCGTTGCCCAGCAATCTACCCATTCTTTTGCTTCAATCTCTGCCTTGATTTTATCTTCTTGCCAATGACTATCCTTTTTTTGATAAACCAATTGATTTCTACTTTTCCAAATCCGCCATAGAGTCCATATAGGGAGCTGTCTTTCCAAGTCCGAAAGATTTTGGTTGTTGTAGCACTCAATGATGGCCCTGAACTTTTCTTCAAAAGATCTTGTTGGACGAATGCTATGAAACACGGAATTACTCTGCCATATAGCTTGAACATATTCACAGTCGAAAAAAAGATGTTCAATTGATTCCTCTGCTTTGTGACAACGGTTGCATTGACTGTTTCTTGTGATTCCTCTGTAAATAAGTCTTGTACCTGCAGCCAAAGCATTAGATAAAATCCTCCACAAAAAGTGTTGAAGTTTCGGAGCTGTCTTCATCTTCCAAATTGCTCTCTTCAATTCTATAAGGCCAGGAGGAGGTGCAACATCATTGACGTATTCTGGTAAATGTGTAGCTAACCAGTACCTTGACTTGACTGTATAAAGACCCGTATCATTATAATTCCAGCCTAGAAGATCCGGTACTGATGTCGGGAAAATCCTGACATTGGAGATCAAAGGAATGTCCTCTGGTACCACATGAAGCCTCAAAGTATCAATGTTCCATCCGGTTTGTCTCGCATTCATCAAATCTTTCACGTATCTCAAGTCACTGTTAATTCCTGCAAGACATCTTGGTGCCCTTGGTGGATGAGTAGGTAACCATGGATCCAACCAGACATTAGTGTTTTGACCATTACCTATCAGTAATCTCATTCCTTTTCTTTCTTATCCAGAAAATCAATTAATCGTGTTACACTTGTGATTTGTTTTTTTTGCTCAAATTCATTTATTTCAGTCGAACGGGCCGTACAGTGGGCCCACTCTCTTCTATTCTGTCTCTCATATATAAGCCCAGTTTCTTTCTTTTTTTCCTAGTACAAACGTTTATGTTTATGTTCACGTAAGATCATATTTTTGACCAAAAAAAAGGATGGGTAAATAAATCTCATATGTGGGATATCTAGAAAATACAAAAGGGAAATATATAATTTTAATTTGCCAAGAGAGTAACAACAAAACATCATTAGAAGAAATGGTTTCGCTTCGGTACCTTACAACACACACTATCACACACTAATTAGCTTTCTCATTTATCCTCAAGTTTATGACAAATTAAAATCATTATTCTACATTGGATATCTGACTCCTGCAGCTAATAGCCTCTGCTGCTCCAGCTGCAACCATTCAAATGTTAAATCCCACAAAATTGTTAATATTTATTACTGTCAAGGTATATGTGTACAGATTAGTTAGACTCATGACTATTTGTGTGTGTAAGGTATTAATAAAGTAAGTAAGTACCTGGAAGAGTTCATGCATCATGTTCTTGAGGTAATGATACTCATGCTCTACTACCTCCAGTCCTCTCAAGCACCTGAAGCATAGTCACGTTTTGGCACAAAACCATTAATTAAGTATAGATTGACCTATACATATCATAGATAATATATTTTCCCAATAGTAATACAAAGAAATATATAGCGTTATTTTTTTTGTACCCTGGGCGGTTGCTAAGTTCAGAAGCAGAACGCAAAGCAACGCATACGTTACGAACCCTACGAGCACCAATGCTGGAACTGCTTCCCACCAACTGATTCAGGTGTAATCCTATTTTCTTGTAGTCCGAGAATTCTCTATCCATCCTGCTCATTCATTTATTAACAATCATCATTCATATACGTACGTATACATTTTGGAACTAAAAAAAAAAAAAAAAAAACTTTGGAACACATGCACATTATAATTAACAAAGAAAGAAACTCACAGCAATAATCTAAGGTTCCGGAGTAACTTCTCGGATTCGTCAAAGTAGATATTAATGACATCATACACAAAGTTTGGTGAAGTCTCATCTTGAAGCTGCTGAAGCTGCAAGAACTGCTCGTCCAGCACTCCCTGGTGGAAAAGAGAGGCTAGGAGCCGGTTGATGTCGGCTTGAAGCCGGTCCACACCCAACCCCAACATCCACAACGGCACACCCGTCTTGTCCCGTTTTCCGCTTCGATCTTTCCTCTTTCTATATTTTTTTTTACTATTGAACCGGCCGGTCTTGCTTCAACTCCTAGCTATAGAGGGCTTGTAATTCTTGATTTTGGGTTTGTTGAGAGGTATTTATAATTTATATCATGACTACTACATGAGATGAGGTGACCCACACTTGAATTCAAATTTCTAAGAGTCAGGTTACCTTTTTTTCCCCACTTTTAAGTGGAAGAATCGAGGAGAGTGTGGGGAATAAACGGGACCGTCACAGGAAAAAGCACTCTAAAAATATTGTAAGTACTTGTTTGGAGGACGACCAATACACTGTGACCGGCTACAGCCGCCAGCCGGTTACCCCGCGTGACTCTGCCAATAGCGGCGTTCTTCCTCCCGACAACCGGCTTACCCTGTCAGACCAGTCTCCCGCAGCCTCTACATCTACATTTTATAACTTTTAAATATTCCTATATATATATATATATGCCTTATATATCAACAACTTTTTTTTTGTTTTTTAATCAACAACTTTTACCCCAATAATATGTACCTTATTTTTTTTTTGTTAAAATATAATATGTACCTTATTACTTAATAGTGTACATACTTTCTATTTTCGATTCATCACTGTTAAAATTAATTAATCTCATTTATTTTATCAGGTCTGAATAAGCTGATTTCCATTGACTGTAGATATTATATATAAGGATTTTAGTCTATCAAGTTATAATCATGGGAATAACAGTAATGTACATTAGATAATTTCATAATTATTCCACACTCTTGAGTCTTGATTAACACAAGTAGTTTATAAAAAAGTTGAAAATGTGAGCATGCATTAGTTTCTGAGACGGTAAAAGAAAGGCCCACACTTTGTTGCTCCCTCGTATGACGCGCGACTTTTCCACTAACTTTGCAGTGCGTGTTCGCTATTCTCTATGCTTCAAACTCAATCCATCCTTCTCTATTTCTATCTCGAAAGGCCTTTCTCTTTCTCGATCTAATCAATTAATCCTTTTTTTTTTTTTTTTTTCTTATAATGAAACGCTACAAGAAGAATACAAGCAACACAAGCACAACACAGAAACATGCGTGAATTGTTTCCCCGAATTAAGTAAAAACTTTTATCAATAGTTAAAACAAATGATTACGATTCCTCTTTAACTATTTTTAATATGTCTGATTAATATTGACAGAAAATGTTTGTACCATACACATAGTAAACAACAACAGATGCCATTGCCATATATAGAGATTGTTTGGTTTGTATTTTAAACCAGAAAGAAGGACAAAATTAAATAATTGAATTCCGACCAATATGTTCAGTCACACAAAATATGTTACAACATTTCATTATCGTATTCGTATATATCAATCAACTAAGGTAAATTTATAGCTAACTTCCAACACCTCTGGTTACACGCATAACATTGGTGTTTCATCGCTATATATGAATCATGACTCATAAATACTTTCTCTTTTTCACTTAAAATGTCATTTTACCTTGTTCACACATATTAATGAAACTATTAAAAGTATTACAAAATCTTTTATTAATACACTAAATAAAACTATTTATTTTATTAATACATTAAAAAGGGTTTAAAATATACTTTTATTTACAATTCTGCATTAAAAATATAAAACGACATACTTTGTTAAACAAAAACTTAAAAACGATATTCTTTTAAAACAAAAAGAATAAAAAATAAATAGTCATGACATATGAAAATAATAAATAAATAATTATGGCACATGAAAATAATAGAGAAATTGTTAAAAATACCCCTTTTTCAATACCCCTTTTCAAAAATGCCCCCTTTGAGAGTCCATTTTTAAGTTTGCTCTCTTTTAATTTTTAATGACCATTTTACCCTTATTTGAAACAAAATTAGGTCCACAAAATACAAAATATTTTTTGGCGGGAAAAGTGATCCCGCAATTTTCCCGCCAAAACACTTGTAAAAACCTTTAAAAAACCTTGTAAAATTTTCCCGTAAAAATTTTTCCCGCCAAAAAATTTTCCCGCCAAAAAATTTTTTTTGCGGGAAAAGTGATTCCGCAATTTTTTTTGCGAAATTTTTTTGGCGGGAAAAGTTTACAAGGTATTTTAAAGGTTTTTTACAAGGTATTTACAAGTGTTTTGTAAGGTTTTACAATGTATTTTAAAAGGTTTTACAAGGTACTTTTAAGGTTTTATAAGGTATTTATAACTTGTAAAACCTTATAAAAAACTTGTAAAACCTTATAACTTGTAAAAACCTTATAAAAATGCTTGTAAAATCTTATAATATCTTATAAATACCTTGTAAATACGTTGTAAAACCTTTTAAAATACATTGTAAAACCTTATAAATACCTTGTAAAAAACCTTTAAAACACCTTGTAAATTTTTGGCGGGAAAAATTTAACGCCAAAAAAATTGCGGAATTACTTTTCCCGCAAAAAAAATTTTTTGGCGGGAAAAAATTTTACGGGAAAATTTTACAAGGTATTTTAAAGGTTTTACAAATTTTTACAAGTGTTTTGGCGGGAAAAATTGGGGGATCACTTTTCCCGCCAAAAAATATTTTGTATTTTGTGGACCTAATTTTGTTATATTTCCTTATATATTTATAATATCTTTTATTAAAAAGGGTAATTTAGTCATTTTGTACATAAAAGGGGTATTTTTAAAAATGGACATCCAAAAGGGGCATTTTTGAAAAGGGGTATTGAAAAAGGGGCATTTTTATTAGTCTCCCAAAATAATAAGCCTATAATCATTTTTCTTAATTAGTCTTTGTGGAACCAAAAAGTATATATATATATATATATATATATATTTATATTTATATATTTATAAGAGATTATACTTGTTTGAGCACAAAAAAGCGTGCTCATAAGTAATTATTGTGAGCTAGTATAGAATGATAATATGATAAAAGTATGAAAATAGCTATATACTCCCTCTGTTCCTTAAAGTTTGATGTTGTAGTGTTTTGAGTTTGTTCCATAAAGATTAATTTTCTAGATTTTTATTTTTTTTTAATTAATTGATTTTAATAAATCGTAGATTTCAAGACGTATTGATTAACTGTTTCAGATTACTATTGGTTCATAATTTATTAAAAAATATTTAATAAAAATAAATAATTAAACAATGATTGTTTCTTAAAAAATGTGAAATCTCTAAAAAATCAATCTTTTAAGAATAGAGGGAGTATATTATTGTAAATGCGGAAAAAAATGACTGAAAAAAAGAAATAGCGTGCTTGGCAACGGAACAAACAAATACTATTAAACATATACTTTTCTTGTTATCAGAGTAAGTAGTAAAGTGGAGCGCATAATGAGTGGATGCTTTTTAAGGTTATGTTACCGATTAAAACTAGTGATTAAATTATGATTATGGGATTATTATATACGAAAACTGAAATTGTCTCATTCGTATGTCATGCTTGTTTGCGCCCCCCGTGCTCAAGTACCCTATTCATTAGTCACTCACTACTCTCTCAATATTTCATAATTTCTATGATTGTTTTTGTTCCATGTACAATATTTTCTTAATTAATGAGATTATTCCATGTACAATTTTTTTTTTGATATATCCGATCAGCTGATCTGGTCAGTTTCGGGAGGAACGCATCGAAGTGCTATAATATGGACTCGTCGCCAACACCTAGGTGTTGGACTACCACACTGCCTAACTTCGAGTTTGGAATGTTTTCCGACTAATGTCCGGAAGTATCCAGTTAGCCTAATCTCGGATACAATGTCAATTGCTTGGGCTAAAGCCCAAGTCCAGACTTCCCACACAAATACGATTTTTGTTTCCAGGGTGGATCGAACCTGGGTTAGTTCCTTCCAACATTTCCCAAATTCTCCCTTACCACTAGACTAGAGCCGTGTAGTAACATGTTTATGTTTATACGATATTATTTTGTAGAAATTCGAAGTCATGGAAAGTCCCGTCTATTGAATTGATAACGTATGTGTCAAGCAACAAGACTCGTCATTCGTTGCTTCGATAGTTTTTCTATTTATAATCATTTTCCCCTACATTTTTCTTATGGGCGTAAATGTGATGCGAACATTCGATATGATGAGATGAGAAACCCCCTTATACTTATTTTTTTGCCATAAACTAAGTAGGCAATAAAATTATGAAAATTTTCGAAGAAACAAAACAAAGAAAATTTGATTAATTCGAGAGAAGACTGAAAGCTAGAGGTACAGATCCTGAGCTCTGGCAAGTAAAGCTGATCGGACCGCAGCGATGACGTCAGTAAGAGAAACTAGGCCTTGTAGCCTATCGTTCTGGTCCACGACCCAAACTCTGTGAATACGTTTCGTGGTGACCATATGGATCACTTGGGCAAGGTATGTCACGTGACACGTCACAAGCTCCCTCCTTGGTGTTGAGGTGGCAGCGGTGAACAAGGGAGTTCTTGGGATTTTCTCGACGAAATCTAGTGCATTTAGTGGCAACCAAGAACACAACGTGGCTAAATGACATCCCTTCAGATTACTAGCCGAGAATGTCCACAACACTCTCCGGTTTTTCCCCTGCACCAGCAAAACACCAAACTAATCGACATTGATCTTCGCAGATAGATAGATGTGTAAGTAAAGTCACGTACGTCGACGAGCTGTTTATGATCCTCTTCCTTGGTGGAGGCTTCAACGATAGGAACCGCATTGAGCATTTATGTACTCATGCATTTAATTGCATCTTTCACTCTTGCCTGACGACGAAGACAAGTTTAACGTATGATTTGATGAATGAAGATGAATATTCTTGACTTGATTAATTTACCTGGCTAGTGAGGGCTAAAACGGTGTTATGTATAGCGGAGAGATCAGTGATGGTATGGGAGAGGATACCATGGAATTCAGAGGATCAGTTGAGGAAGAAAGAGATCAGATCCATCTGAGTCAGCATTGCGTAAGAAGAAGCTGACTCTACCAACTCAGGTCCTGTTATATTTTCTATGTTACTGTCCAATGGAACCAATACCCTGTGGATTCCTTTACTCAACATCTCCATACAATCCATTATGCTGCTTTCATCATGACCATCTTTGATAGTACTCTCTCCGTCCGTAATGTTAGATGTTTTGACAAGAAAACAAATGTATGCATTTTCTATGCAAAATTTCCATAATATTTCCTAATTTATCTTATATTAGTTGGAATTATGACAGAAATATGGGTATATTAGGTGTTGGTAATATTTTTTTTTTTTTTTTTTTTTTTTTTTCTAAAAAGCAAAAGAATTCTTACCATGTGAGAAAAGTAGTGTAAAACATCTAACATATTGAAAGGGAAGGATATATTATACATAAAGCAATCTTCTATACTAGTAACCTGGTATTAGGATTGAGAGACCAGAGGTTGAGACCCTCAGGACAATGACCAATGATAGAAGAGACAGGAGCAGCCATTTTCTTATCGAGCCCACTCTCGCCGTCGTCTCCGGTGATGTGAGCCACAACGTCCAGCATCGTCACCACTCCTATGTACTGTTTCCTTGCACTCCCGCTCTGTTTGTCCGACTCTACTATCATTGACCCGCCGGCACCCAGCCATTGGTCTGGTTTCGCAGCTACCGGCACAGCTCTAACTCGGTTTGCCACCGGTTTGATACCAAGAATAGTCTTGTTAGAAATTAATTAATGATACATAAAACGGTCAACTCCAACAAAAAAAAAGAAAGAATATATATTAATTATTTAGCCGTGGTTTACCATGGTGTTCAAGGCGTCTGCTAGAGTGGCGTTATCAGGAACTTCGACCAGCCGCCGCTTGTGGACCATCAGATGTTTGACCTTGAGCTGCATCAAACGGCTGTGCGAATGCATGGAGGTTTTGTGTTTTGGACAGAGCCAGTCCAGAGAGCAAGCAAGTGAAACAATCGCTTAGAGTTTACATTATTAAACAGTTTTTTGGAAAGGATTTTTTTTTTATATATTAATAAAAAGGTCCAAATTTTTAGTTATGCGTAAGACATCAAAGAAAATTTGGAAACTTTGGACCGGTCCTGGTTTTGGGTAGTCGGAGGAAAATGGGACGAGGCTGATTAACTTCTAATCTTTGTTTTGATGCTTTCATAGTTTACTTCATTATTCATATTAGTCATGTTACTAGGAAGATGGCACGTATAACATGTGTTGCTCCATGGGCATGTACATGTGCTTTTCGTATGCACAGACCACGCGTCCGTTTATTCAGATTTCGTTTTACAACATAATGATTTTAAGGTTCACAATCAAAAGTTTTACAGTATGCTGATTAACAAAAATAAAAATAAAAATTGCAGTATGAAACTTTTTTTAATTAAACTATCTACTGTTTGTTACAAAGACAAATACAGTGCCCAGTTCAAATTGAATAATAGCCAAAAATATCGTAAATCTGAAAATGGGCTCAGCCCAAAGAAAAAAAGTAAACGAATCGAGATAAAGGAAAAGTCGGGTCCCATTCACGAAACGGGTCGGATCCAGGGCCCAACCCAAGGCGAATGAATATCTCGTGAAAGCAATAAATGAATCAGGAATTTTGTGTTTATTTCGCTCCTCGAGTTATCCCGTGAAAGTCATAATGACATTGTGAACGTTTTTTTGGACCCACCAAAATTTTTTTCTTTTGAATATATACATACATTATATGTGCACTAACAATTTGGAACAACAACTACTAAAAAAAATGGCACAATATGAACTCTTCCGCCAAATATTCATTGTCTTGTCGATAATTTCTCCGTTAGTCAGATCTTTCACCGTGATCACCTCCGACTCGACGGCGCCATCTGCTCTGATCGACGGCCCCCAAACTGGATTCACGATGACCAACGACGGCGCTCGCACGGAGCCTGACGAGCAAGACGCCGTCTACGACATTATGCGTGCCACCGGCAACGACTGGGCTGCCGCGATTCCAGACGTTTGCCGAGGGAGATGGCACGGGATCGAGTGTATGCCGGACCAGGATAACGTCTACCACGTGGTCTCTCTGTCGTTCGGAGCGCTCTCAGACGACACGGCGTTCCCCACTTGTGATCCACAACGCTCTTACGTCTCTGAGTCCCTCACGAGGCTCAAACACCTCAAAGCCCTGTTCTTCTACCGTTGTTTAGGCCGCTCCCCACAGCGCATACCGGCGTTTCTGGGCCGTCTCGGTTCGAGTCTGCAAACGCTGGTTCTGAGGGAGAATGGCTTTTTGGGTCCTATCCCTGACGAATTGGGCAATCTTACCAATTTGAAAGTTCTTGATTTGCATAAAAATTACCTCAACGGCTCCATTCCCTTGTCGTTTAACCGGTTCTCCGGTTTAAGATCGCTTGATTTGAGTGGGAACCGGTTGACTGGTTCCATTCCCGGTTTTCTTCTTCCGGAGCTGAACGTTCTGGATTTGAACCAGAATCTTTTGACCGGACCGGTTCCATCCACACTCTCGACCTGTGGATCGTTGATCAAAATCGATCTTAGCCGAAACAGAGTCACTGGTCCTATCCCAGACTCGATTAACCGGCTCAACCAATTAGTGCTTCTGGATTTGAGCTATAACCGGTTAGCAGGTCCATTCCCGCCTTCTCTCCAAGGTCTAAACTCTCTTCAAGCTTTGATGCTCAAAGGCAATACAAAATTCTCAACAACGATTCCTGAAAACGCGTTCAAAGGGCTCAAGAACTTGATGGTTCTTGTTCTCTCAAATATGAATCTCCAGGGTTCGATACCGAAATCATTGACTCGGTTAAACAGTCTTCGGGTACTTCACTTGGAGGGCAACAATCTGACCGGAGAGATCCCTTTGGAGTTTAGGGACGTGAAGCATCTAAGCGAGCTGAGGCTCAACGATAACAGTCTGACAGGTCCAGTACCGTTCGAGAGAGATACAGTGTGGAGGATGAGGAGAAAGCTGAGGCTGTATAACAATGCTGGTTTGTGTGTGAACCGGGACAGCGACTTGGATGATGCATTCGGTTCAACATCTGGTTCAAGTGTCAGTTTGTGTGTTGGAGAAACGCCGAGACCAGGTCCTTCTGGTTCGGTACAACATCTATCTAGAGAAGAAGACGGTGGTATGCCGGGCTTGTCAAGCAGTTCCAAGACTTTGGGGTTCTCCTATCTTTCTGCATTCGTTCTTGTCTTTCTAGTTAGGTAAGGGATGATATAACTGCTGTAAATACTTCCGAGTTTAATAATGTTAGATGCTTTCTCTCCATTTGTTGGAACTTAAAATTGATTATCTTCATTCATGGTTACAAAAAACTGCTTGTTCCTTTTGTTGGAGACTAGAGAGACTTGTATTTGCTGGTTTACCATGTTTGGAATATTTGGCTTTTGTTCATTATGGGAAGAACCTACTAAAGTTTAAAATTGTCATTTTATTTCCTCTCATCGAAGAGATTAGTTACCGAACTTCCCTGATACGCATACGAATGATTGCATCAGATGTGCCCATGCAACACATTCAAGATTTTCATTCTAGTGGCAAAACATCTTTGTAAGATTTAAGGACGTTACAATCTATCTCAGTAACGCACAAGAGAGTAAAACATCTTACAAGTCTCTGTTGCAAAATAAAGCTAAATCAGCAAAAAGGAGGAAGTTTACACACATGGTAAGAAAAGTAAGTATATCTCAAGTAAATGTGTCCTCGCGATCTCCCTCTGCAATGTCAGCCTCCTCCATGTTGCTGAACTCTAGGAAATGAGTGGGTCGATGCTCCTCGTGATAGTACTCCTTTGGGGATCCGAGTTTGACACTGTAGTTCATACTCACCGTGTGCTTCACTCCCATGAAGTTGTAGTTCCACGGTCCATTCTCAGGAACCTATCACAACAACAGTTACAAAATCAGATTCCAATGGTTTATATCATCCAAGGACAAAAGCACAATTGAAAACTGTGTTTCTTACCATGTAAAACCCGAGGAACCGGTCACTCAGCAGCATCTGAACCTTTTCATAATGGGTGGGAAGGTAACCGTGAGGATTGCTGCCTGTGTCCTTGTTAAGCCGCCCCCATTCATATCCGGTTTGGGTCAACTTATATGACGTCAAAGAGCAGGAGCCCGGAGTGAAACTGCAGGTCAGGATGATGCATTTTTCTCCATCCCATTGCTTGTTGTTCTCCAGAACACGGGAATGAGAGGTTACATCCTATCAAAGCAAAGATCAGTTAGCCATGGGGTTAACAGGCTGATATTAAGGTATAGATCAAATATAACAGGATGATATTAAGGTATAGATAAAATATAATACATGTGGTGACAGCTGAGGCAGCTCGTTAGGCTGTGTGTGCAACCATCCCAAGGGCTCAAGATCATTTAGGAAATCATGCTCAGGAAGAGATGACGGCAGGTGAACTTGCTGATGACTTCCCCATTGTGGCACCATCACAACACAACGGATCTCCTTCACTTGGGGATTATCCGGGGGACTAATACCATATAAATATCCAGCAATTTGAGTACGAAGATCTGCTACGCATATAAACTTCTTCAAAATGTTCTTTGGCATGATGTAGGTGTATCCGGTTTCCTGTGAACAACAAGAAACAATGTTTAAGGTCGACACCTGAAAGTCTATTACTTAATTGACAAAGTGAATGAGAGTGAATTGGATTCTAACCTTTATGTCATCTGAGTTCACATATATGTGATTGACTCTGAGGTAAAGATTAGTAGCTGATATTGCACGTACACGCCAATCTGTTTTGGAACCGAATGCAGATTGCTCGTAAGGGCTCGTGGTGGTGACAATGAGCTCATCACCATGGACATTTGTAGTTCTTGTTGTGACTGCAGTAAGCTGGCTGGCTTCCTTTGCCTGCAAATAGGATATTTATTTACAGTGAGCAAAAAGAATAATAGGCACAGATCTACTCTCTCAATGTTTGATAGAAGTAACAGTTACGAGTACCTGTTTCTCAATCTCAGCTATCTGTTGCCTCTGTTGAGAGGGTGGAGTAATCTCAGCTCCAAGAATAATATCTCTGATCTCTGATTGTGTCAGAGCTGAGGTATTCACATTGTTCTTCTTTGCGTAGTCAGAAAGGATAAGATCTCGAAGTGCTACCTCCACCTGAATTTAACATGATCGTGAATAAGGACTATTCAAACAAAGAGAAGAAAGTAAAAGCATTACATAATATAATTCACTAGTAAGTAAAAACAGCAGATGCAGAGGTGATGTAGTGTAAAGAGGCATCCTATCAAATAAAATAATCTAGCAAGAAGAAGTACTTGGAAAGTGGCAGAAGAGTTACCTTCATCCATTGATCGTCAGTGAGAGAAGGCCAGATGTGATGTGGCTCAGTGACAACGGACTTGTCAGGCTTCAACAACATCTTAGCCTTCTCATTATTCACGTGAAGCGCACGAAGGATCAAAATAAGTCTTGAAAAGGCAGTATACGAAGAAATACTCTTCAACCAATCATCATATATATTAAACAAGACCATCTGTGGTTCTGTGGCCTTCAAAATCAGGTCACCAAATTTCTCTATCTTGAGGCAAGCCTGGAACGGAAGCTGCAGCTCGCTTCCCTTGATAACAATGTTGGGGAAATCCAGCAAGTGAACCTCAAGGGGATCCAACATTCCTTTCCGCGTGACAATAATCTGTTTCGGCTGTTCTTCAACAGGGAGAGATCGCACAAGTGCAGCAACCTCTTCAGCAGTTTTCCATTTCGCTAGCTGGCCAAGACGCTTCTGACCAGCCCAAACACTTGTATGGATAACCTAGAGGACCAAAAAACAGTTGAGATTCCACAGCATGTTACAAGACAAACAGAAGAGGAAGTAGTTTTGTGGAACAATGCATATATGCCTGTTCTTAATGTCAAGATCGGGAGAGGAAGAAATACCTTCAGGAACAGCTGCCCAGTTCTTGGATTGAAAATGAAAATCGCACCATTGATTGGCTTTGTCGTTAAATT